ATATAGACATATATATTTATATATATATATATATGCAATATTATTTTTGTCTAACTGCGTCTCACTGAGTTTCGTAGGGAACTCCGATAGAAATAGCCGCAAACCTGATGGAATGCCCATCATCAACAAGTGCCACATCACCCGCAACGTACTCAGCATTAAGTGGCATTTTCAAGTTTAAACATTGAAATTAAGAAAATAAAGATGAAAACTAAACAGTTTGTTGCTTCACAATTCAAATGATCCTGAATAAACATTTCAAATTCCGTAAAAAGTAAACATTGAAACATCTTTTATCTTGTTTTGGATAAAGGATTAAGTGTATTTACCTCTAATTGATATTTCCAATTTAAAACATAGCATAAACAAATATTTATTGATAAAGGCAGTGAGACAAATTAAGGGCAGAATTTTCATTTGTGGAAAAATACTCTATTGGGTGGAATTGTTTGAGTGTCAGTGTATTTTTTTTAATCTAGCGACTTGTTTATTTAAAAAAAAGCAGGATCTTCGATTAAATTATTGAAAGGAAGCTTGGATTTTAAGTTACTTTTCTTCTATGATTTAAACTTCCATTTTGTACTGTAACTCGGTAAAAAACAAAAATATGGGGAGCGGAATATTTTAGCTGTATACAATTATTTAAACACTAAAAGATCGGGATGTTTAGATAATTAACTTTGCTTGTTTGTAGGATAATAAATCAAGGTGTATAACATTTGTTGTTCTTAATTTTTGTGTGTGTTTTGATTTGCCCTTTCCATTGAACCACATACGGAGTTTGGTCGGTGTATATGCGACAAGGGCCCGGGGTTCATGCGGCCCATTCATAAGGATCCCCTCATGCGGCTCCGCTATTGGAAAACTGTCACTGAAATAAATGCTTAACCATATATTTAGCCACATTATGAGTGGTCTTTTCACCGGTCTGGGGAGATATTGTATCTCGGATATTCTAAATAACGGAGGAATAACCCGCGCACCGGCCGTCTACTAACGATAAGTAATAAAACTGTTCTCTCTTAAAAGTCCCCTTAAAAGTCCGGTCGGGCTTGTCCAACAAGACAGAACAAAACCTTCAAACAAGTCTTTACGAATGTTTAAACCTCTTCTACTCCAGGACCGAGACGTCACATATTCCCTAATTAAAGGAGGAAAAAGGAATTTTGGGCAATGAACAAGACAACCCGACCAGAGGAATATCTTCAAGTCCAATTATAGACCAAAAAACGGGGGGGAGATGCTCTGCTACAAAATATGTCCGCACAAAGCGAAATGAACTCTAGAGATGTAACTCTAGTTTAAAGAACAGCTAAACAGTGTAAAAATCACTAAAAAAACCTACAACACGAGAGTATTTAACGATCCCATGTGTGCCAAATACGCTGATGGACAAATTTAACGCACCACTCAATTTATTTAGTTTAAAATTAATTCCGTTATCATTCCACATTAGATACAGTTAATTAAGAGGCAAAGTAATCACAACAAACGCTAAATATGCTTCTTTTACTTCCTTTTTTTACTTTTGTACTGATTATTCCCATTTGCGCAAAAAGTAGTATTATGCCCATCCATTCTGCTACATCGAAAGATCGCAACTCAGTTAATCTTTTTCAATCTTTGATGTTAATTTGATTTGATGTTCGATTCGATTCGAATTTGATGTTAATCTATTCTTAAACCTTTGTCAATGGCTCCAGTCAGGCATTTGAGTGAGTGTGATAGTGTCAGGACCATAACATTATTAGAAGAAGGATACAGCCAGCACAAAGACGACAGGAGTCTGCGTGTAAATCACTCTACAATAGGAAGGGTTCTTCGGCGCTTCAGAGAAACAGGGCTTCACGGGAAACGGCTTAGAAGGGCCGTCCTAGGTCTAGACACGAGAGAGGGGGGAGAATCATCCGTCATCAGGATGTACGAAACTTCAGGTTTAGGGGAAATGAGATAAAAAATCTGATAAGACAAGTCCGACATGTTTCGGATTCCTCCAGGACTGTAAGAAGAAGGCTCAATGAAAATAACCTCAGGGGTCGGCACGCGGATCTTGGACCTCTTCTTACCATAGGTAAAAATTGACGAGGGTTCGATTCGCACTGGTACATGTTATTGGACGTTGGAAGATTGGGGATGAGTTCTCTTTACTGAGGTGAGAGTTGCCTTCAAATCTTCAGATGGGCGTAATTTCATATGGTGACGCTCAGGAGAAAGGTATTTCCCAAGCAGTATGGTTCCTCAGATGGATTACATGGCGAGTCATTGATGTTCTGAGATGGTATTGCCTTGGACGCTCGCATCGAATTGGTTGTTTGCGAGGAAGATCGCTAACTTCACCGTGGTACTTACAAGACATAATCGAAGACGGTGAGAGATTCTTGCTAATGCAGGATAATGCCCCCCTTAGAGCTGTGGATGACTCCCTGAATGAGGTTGGAATTGAGTGCTTGGTGTGGCCAGCTCCAAGTACGGATTTGAACCCAATCGAACACATTTGGGACCAACTTTAGCGGAGAGTACGACGCGCGGAACCCAGGTCCTAGCACCCAGTTCAGCATTCAGTTGGAAACGGTTGTTCTTGATGAATGGGAAAGAATTCATCAGAATTTTACGAGATTTTTTTCAAGGAATGCAAACTAGTTTAACGGACGTAATTCATGCCAGAGGTGGAAATATTCGTTATGAACATTTTTATTTAGTTCAATTTTTTTTAAAATTAAGTAATACACATTGTTTTAAAGGTCTTATTTTTACAACGAAATCTATTTTTTGTATGCTAAATATAAAAAACGTAATTGCATTTAAATTTAAGGGTGGTGAGCTTATTTTGTCCATTAGAGGTCAATCATCTTGGCATGATCATGTGAAGGAACAACGCAGTAGAGACATAACCTAGGTCCGGGAAGACCTGCAGTAACAACAGTGACATTCTCCTTTTAAATATGCGAATCAAGTCAGTTTGACTGAACTAAAGAAATAGGAAAAGTACAGTACAACAATGAAACATAAGCCACAAGGTTTCAGTGCTTGGGAACACCAAACCCCTACTTCCCAATTTTTACTGTGTAAATAATGCACGTTACCTGGTTGCATTGGTTAGTTTAGGCTTGGCTAGAAATATTTGGCTTGTTTACGAATGGTTATGCTAGATAGAGTTTTGGTTAAGAACGGATATGTAAGGTTAGGAATGGGTGTGGTAGGTAGGGTTAGAGACGAGTTAGGTTGTCACGTCGAATTATGGTAGAGACGGGTAATCTTAAGTCAGGGAGATTTTACATAGGATTAGGAATGGGTTAGGTTAGAAATGGTTTGCCTAGGTTAGGAGTGGTTACACTAGGTGTGGATTAGTTTGAGATAGGGTAAGGGTTTGCGTTAGCCTTTCAACTTTTCCGGTTTTTTGGTAATGATTTGTTTGGTTAAGTTAGAAATACTAAGATTAGACAGGGATTAGTTTTTAGTCGGGTAATGATTAGGGTTATCATTTTTTTCCAGTGCAATCCTGTTAAATGATTCCTAGGATTCGGCTAATATTGGTAAAGTTAGGTAGGGGTTAGGTTTAGGTAGGGAAAGAATTCAAACTTTTTTCTATGCAATGTTAATGATTCTCTATGTCAGGTTAAACTAGGAATGGTTATGTTTGATTTGGAATGGTCACGTTAAGGTTAGACTAGTTCGATTAGGTTAGCAATGATTAGGATAACTTAGGAATGGTTACGTTTGGTTGGGGTAGCGTCTAAGTAAGATTAAGGTAGGGTTTTTAGTTGAGATGAAAAAAAGTTAATGGCACGAGAGGGATTCGAACCCACGACCTTCGGCTAGATACGCCGCTGCTCTACCACCTGAGCTATCGTGACCTCGATCCACTCGGACATCAACTCCCCATCTCAACCCCACCTTATGAGTTTTCCCTCCTTTTGCCATTTTTAAAATGTCGTGTAATCGGTTTGGATTCTCGACGACAATTGAAATGGCGACGGAGAGCTTTAGTGAAGTGTACTTCATTTTTAAATCATTAATTCACTACTTTCGTGGTCCGCTTGACCAATTAATACATGACAATTAATTAAGGTTTTTTAGTGAATCCAAACCGATTACACGACATTTGAAAAACGGCAAAAGGAGGGAAAACTCATAAGGTGGGGTTGAGATGGGGAGTTGATGTCCGAGTGGATCGAGGTCACGATAGCTCAGGTGGTAGAGCAGGGCGTATCTAGCCGAAGGTCGTGGGTTCGAATCCCTCTCGTGCCATTAACTTTTTTTCATCTCAACTAAAAACCTTAATTAATTGTCATGTATTAATTGGTCAAGCGGACCACAAAAGAAGTGAATTAAGGTAGGGGTTATACTTTTTTCTGTGCAATTCTGTGCTAATGATTCCATAGGTCAGGATAGGAATAGTTAGTTTAAGCTAGGAATGGATACATAACCTATGGTACATTGAAGAAAAAAGTCAACGGCCTTCTACTTCTCAAAAGAAAAATATAGTGAATTGAACTAAACTAAGGAACAAGGAATAGTACAATACAATGCAGTATGTAAGTAAAATAAGCCACAAAGCTGCAGTGCTTGGAAAATATTAAACTCCCCACTACCAGGTATCTTATCCGTCATGATCGGAGACATCCTAGTTGGAAGAAAGGTTTTTTATTCATGATAAGACTCGTATATCCTACCCGAACTGGATGCATTCAGAGTCTGTGTCATATTTGTAAATACTACAGTTTACTTATTGGGATTCATAGTTATTCTTCATATTTTACACCAGGGGTTAACTTCATGTTTTATTTGACGATCTTTATTACTTTTTATACAATTTTTCCGCTATGCGAGCCGACACGTGACGATTTTCCATAAATGTGCGCTTCGTATCAGTATTTGAGTTAATTACTGGGCTGTTTCATTTGTATGCCTTGTACACGCGAGTTACAGCTCGTATCTAAATAAAACTGACTAAGGCTTTGTATAAAAATGAAGGTAGTAAAAACCGTTTCTGTTTGTAGCTGTCGAGGGTGAGGCCGTGTAGAGGTTGCGCTCCGCACAGTTGGAATGCCGACGGTCACTGCAGCAACATCGAGACGACGTGCGAACCGGTGATAGCCGCCAAACCCAAGGCGAGTCGAGCAAATTACAAACTTTAGTAATTATTTATATAAATAATAAGAAAATTATGTGATTTTGTTTTTAGGTTCGAACGCAGATTGTAAATGGAGATACGAAACCGCAAAGAGCTACGACATCGGTGCTCGTCAGTACTTCGCAGCCTCATTATATTTCCCAGGTTTGCTCGTTTTGCAATTATTATTTATACGAGAATCCTTTTTGTTTATAAACTAAAACAATTCTCTAGATTAAAAAAAAATTATTATCTTTTTACTGCTTTGTATGTAAGTTGTGGCGGTTAGAATAAGTCGTGAGATTAGAAAACCGTGGCAAGTCAATCTAGACGCAAGTAGAGAAAAACAATTGAGAAGTTTATAAATTGATATTCATTGACGAATTAAATAACTACAAATTATAATTTTTCTATGTAATATGGATTTTTTTAAAAAACTTAGTCTTTGTATTTATAATTTTTAACTTTTCCATGTGGTTTTTTTAAAAATATTTTTTTGTTGTTTTATTTTTACAACAATTTTTGGCGTTACGGGAATTTACACCCATCATCAGCATCGTATTTTTCTTAAATTTAAATTTTTCATGTAGTTATGTAGTTTTTTAAAGATATAAGAACATGTTTTATTGATAAGCCGTCTGGCCAGGATAAAGTCTATAGGGAGAACAATAAATGTAATTATTAAGTGTAGGAGCAGTGACAAAAAGGTACCTTATAAAAATTCCAAAACAAAGTTTTTTTTGGCCCTATGATCGATGCATATTAGCCAAGGATACGATTATTGTATGTGTATTCATATTGTGTGGAGGGTAGTATGGTGAAAAAAATGTCAGAGGCGACGGTGGGAATCGAACCCATGACCAAAGGGTCTATGAGCCGAGAGTCTCTCACACTAACGACTAGGCTACCGCGGTTTAGGGTTAGGTTATTAGGAACAGGCATCTTTAAGACATAGCGCACTGCGACCAATGTTGATCTATTATGACATCACCATTCCATCAGTAAGTATAGAGCTTTTCGTGAGCTTAAGGCTTTTTACCAGGTTTTTCCTTTCTCAGTAAGAATCACAGTCTGCATAGGTCTCGAGGTATCGACAGGAGAATGTTTACTTTTCATTTGGTTTTACTACTTTGCATGCAAATCGTTGCTGTAATGCGTCATGCGATCTAGAAGGCAAAGGTGAATTTTTTATGGAGGTTACACTTTGATCATCATTGACTTTAATAGGTCTTTTGATGTGATATTCATTGACTATTATATATGAATGTACAATATGTATTGATTAACTGTAAGAGTGTATAAAAGAGCAACAGAGCTTATGAAAATTTCAAAACAAATTGCTAGGTTTAGGTTATTAGGAGCACGCAACTTCATGACCTTTTGTACCTCGACCAATATTGGTCTATTGTGGGATCAACATCATTGTTTAGAGTACTTCGTTAAGTTGGCTTTTTGCCTGATTCCAAAGTTTTGTTAGTTCATCACCTTCGCTCTGATAGGAGAAATTTTACTTTTCTTTTTACTACTTTTCATGCAAATCATTGCTATAGCGAGTCATGCGATCTAGAATGCATTGGTGAAAAAGATTGGAACGGTTATACTCGATATTCTGGAAGTGGTAAGGATACAATTAATTTCTTTTTCTTTAGAATATTTTTCGTCTATGCATTTTTGGAGTTGTATATAAACTCCCTAAAGACATGATGAGGAGAGTTTATATACATCTCCCAAAATGGATAGACGAAAAATAAAACGTCACGTCCTCACTATTTCCAGAAAATAGAAAGGAAAGAAGAAAACGTTATACTTGTTATTCATGACAAGTAATTTAAATAATAAGAATTGTTTGAATTAAATGTAAGATCTGTGTCAATAGGAGCAACACAATTTGCGAACTTTCAAAAACAGTGTGATAGGTTTAGATTTAGGTTATTAGGGGCATGTATTTTATGACCTTGCATATTCGAACAGATAGGTTTGGGAATTGTAATATTTTCATCATTTTTTTTTTGCCTTATGAACTTTGCATATTAGCCATGACGAATTCTTATATATGTTGTTCAAATTGGGGCTTATCGGGAAAAAAGGGCCAGAGGCGACGGTGGGAATCGAACCCACGACCGCGGCGTGAGAGTCTCTCATGCTAACCACTCGGCTACCGCGGTCTCCTATTTTCATCATTGTATAGACCTCTTCGATATGCCGGAATTTTATCAGAACCCAAAACTACGTTATGAGATGTTTCGTTCACTCCTTGGCATTTATTTCCTCTCCAGTAGGAATCACACAATCAGCCTGAATAGGTCTTCGCACCGAAATTTGTCAATTCTTGTCTTTTCACTCGTTTGCATGCAAATCATGGCGGTTAGATTGTGACATGAGATCAAGTAGGCTGCGGCATGTCGATATAGAAGGCACAGGTGTGAAAAATTGGGATGGTATAATTTTATCAAAACTTGCGACCTAGACTTCAGTTGGGCTTTAAATGGACTAGTAAGTACACCAAGACAAATGAGCATGTTGTTTTAAAATTTTTGTAAACTGTAATCTCAATAAGTTGAAATGATTAATAAATCATGGTTTTTTTATTCATTTAACGGGTTATAGGATTCTCAGTTCATCCTAAGTATGAATATCAGCTATCATAGGCCTGCATTGCAGGTTGTAGGACCTGCATTGCGGCCGAAGGGACGCCTTCACAAGAGGAAAACGTTTAGGAAAAGTTACGTTTTAATTGTTCAGCCAGTCGGGTCAAATTCCTTCTTTCGAGGAGGCGGGGGAATAGTAATTTTAGCCCCCCCTCGCCGCATAGACAAGGTATCGCGAATAAGCCCGGTTCAAGAAAAAAACCCTTTCTCTTTCCTTTTCTACGTTTTTGGGTGAATGAAATTTCTGTAGAATACATGAGGATGGATAAATTCTTCCTTCGCCTCCCTGGTACCGCCTGGGAAATTTCTTCTAAACTGTTTCTCTTAAATCTCCCAGAGTGTACATTAGCAGACGAAAGTCTCTCTGACTCGAAGAATAACGGCTCAATGTCTCCCGGAAACATCTGTCTCTTAATCCTAGTGCGTTCGGAATATGAAAATAAATAAAAGCCGGCATCATCCCTAAAACTAAATTACAGAGACTTTACCCGCTCCAATGTTTTTTTAAAAATTGTTTATCAGCGAATTCTATTTATAATTAAACATGGAAGCAACAAAAGATCTGAAAATAGGTCGATTAATTGCCGGCACTTTTCTTCTCCTTTGGATGGGACCATCTTCACCCCTTCTTTCTCCAACTGTAACTATGTGTTGAATTTATTGTTTTAATCTAACATAAGGCTGTATTGCCCCTATAGCGGTGCTATAAACTGAGAAAAGGTCGGCCATTAAACGTCTTTTGTTCGGCAATCCTTAATTATATATCGAAATATTATTTGATATTTCAATTTTTATTATAACATTTGATAATTAAATGTACATTAATGAATATTATATTATAACAAGATAATCGGATGGAGGTTATATTTCTAATATAGAATGGACGGGACCACGGTCGGCATACGCCAGGTTGAAATTACGAGTTAAACATAACAAGATCAACAATGGTCCCGTCCATTCTATATTAAAAATTTAACATCCATCCGGTTATCTTATATACTACCACCAACACACCTAATCGTTTAATCTAAATTTTCCGTACTGCCACCAGCAATATTTATCAATATAAATTCAATTATGACATGTTTTAATCCAAATGGGAAAATCTGTTATCCTTTGTGCTTATTATTAAGAGCGAATTTTTTAAATCCAATTCATCAACCAATTTTTTCTAGAGAACACTGTGTAGTGCTTTCGGCTTGTTTTCTATCTTTTGTGTTGAGTTTTATTTCCCTAATCTGGCAGTTGCCGACCATGGTCCCTTCCATTCTATATCAGACACAGAACTTCCATCCGGTCATCCTACACAGAGCATCCAACAAATGTTAAACCTCATGGTAAAGATGATAAACAATGGTTTGTTCATACATCAGATATATAACTTCTATCTGGTTATCGTACATAGTATAGCCAATACTCCTACCTAATTATGAAAATAATGTAGTCGAAATGGTAAAATCTACTTATCTTTGTACTTATGTAGGATCAATTTTTTAATTATTTTAAGTTAATGTCTCTCTCTCTTTCTCTTTCTCTTTCCTCGGCTTGTCTTGTAAAGATTCCTTTGACTAACCTCGCATGTGTCTGCCATGATCTCATCCAGTCTATATTCGAAATATAACCTCCATCGTATTCTACAGAGTATAGCTACCGCATGGCCACACTTACCTATTTCACCTAAATTAAAGTGTTTGTGTGCCATGTTATGGCTTAAAACATAACAATGTGTCACGATTTATAAACAAAATGGAATTTACAGCGCAAGACATCATAAATGGCCCGTTTATTCTGCTTGACAAAGTGAATGACAGAAAGGAAAGCGTAAACGAGAGCTTTCCCGGAGGCGGTGATTCATTAAATTGGTAGGTGTGGCTTGCAAAGTGTAGCATAACTGGATGTAATTAATATTTGTGATACGAGAAGAATGGATGAGCCCACATAAGAGGGGGCAGAAACTGCTAAGCCCGCAACACCAGGCAGTCATGCGGAACTGTATAACCAAACCGCCTTAATCTTGAGCCTATTTTTCCGCCTAGGCAACAATCAGAATTTCAATTATCTCCATCCTCCATCTTCCACTAAAGTTAAGACCAATTTAAGAAATTGGTTATTAAAACAATTTTAGAGGACGAGGGTTGGTTGTTCTTGTTAACTCGACATTAACTCCTAATATCAATCTGGCACATGTCCACCTTGGTGCCGTTCAGCCTGTTTTTCAAACATAACCTCCATCGGTCTATGATTATAATAATTAATAACTGATATATATATAGACTTCTGCAAATTTCTAGTTGCCGGGACATAATTCAGTCTGATTGCAGCAGGTATGTTAGTTTAAGTTTCCCCTTTTTTCCGGCAATTTTGTTTTAGTATCTCTCCAGTCATAAGGTCACATCCTGGAGTTTTTTAACAGATAAATTTTTAATTTTTCGTGCTGTTTCTTTAGCTGTAACAAACAGTATATTTCCTTTTTGTGGAGTAGTAGTTACTTTGAGTAAACTGCCATTGATGTTTTTC